AATTGCTTATTTACATTAGCTTGAGCTGTGGGTAACTCCCTATTTTATTTATTTACATACAGAATGTATCTTTTACCTCATTAAAAAGTTACTTTGTCAGTCAGCCTTCCACCAAATATTTTCCCCTCATTGCCATAGATGTTTTCCTGTCTTTTGAAACAAAAATACACCACTCCTATGAAATCCAGGGATGAAATTGAAGGAAGTCCATAGGAAATTCGCAACAAGGCAGCCACAGCTTTTTATCAGCTGGAACAGATCACACAGCTGAAGAGGGAAAGTCACATTCCATCAGGCTGGAGGGACACACATCTAAAATGCATTTTGCCTGTAGATTAGAATACAGAACCTATATGGATGCTATAGGTAGCCACAGCAGATCCAGCAGCTACCCTGACTTTGGATGATGGTCACTACTCCTGATTTGCTATTCTAGGAAAATAAATGTAAATGTTCAAAATCACTGCTACTAGCTATTATCAGTCATTCTTCATTTGAGCCTCACTTAACACACCATTTAATGACTGGGGATACACTCCTGCATCTTTCTAAACGGGTCCCTCATTGCTGCCTCCAAGGCCTCTTTGAGCTGCTGCTTTCTGTCCACTCACTGTACTGAGGGATGTGTGAGTGAAATCCAAGTGCCCAAGGTCCCTGGGAACACCAGCATGCCAAAGCCCTGCAGCGAGGTGACAGGCTGGAACACCTCCTCCCAACCAGAGGGAGGGAAGAGAGAAGTCTCCACCCATCTGTTTCTATCCTCTCCTAACTGTATAACCCACAGGGATCCCTACCTCACCTGCCTGCAGGAATGTGTTTCCCTGGGAGGGAGGGTCGCAGAGAGCAGTTTGGGTGCTAACTACCCCTTGCTGACCCTGAAAGCAAGTCCTTACAGGCAGCCAGAATCATCACTCCTAGGAGAAACAGCTGCCCAACTACTCTGCCCCCCAAAATCTCACAGGGTCCATCCACCCTGCTGCCCACAGGCAGGGGCACTAGGGCACACCCTGATGCTGCCCAGGTGTCCAGCCCACATCCTGAGCAGTCACCCCACACTCATCCTCCACGACCAGAGGTGCTCCTGTACTTACAGGGATGCCTAGAATTTCCCCTTTCCCTTTAATCTCAAATCTTCACACACACAAGTAACCCCCCCAAAGCTTTGCATCTCAGGCACACCTGTGGCCTCAGCTTTACCAGAAGGGCCGCACCAAAGTATTGCATCATCTGTTACATTTGTATGGAGAAGGCACAGACTTGGAAATCTAGGATCATTAGCATAATGACGTTTAAATTATAATAATGAAGATCCTTTACCAAGCTCTGAGTGAAAATTCCCAAAGTTGATTGCAACACAAATGAGCTCTATGTTTATTTTTATTTGCTGATAGTCAATAACCTCACTGAGTGCCGCTGGAGATTAAAAGCTAAAGAAATGCAAAAGATGACACTTGCAGCTTGCATGCCCTCAAAAATGCTTGGGTGTCTATCTTTCACTGCCTGAGGAGCACTACCTTCCCAAAATTCTATCTTGTATAATGATATTTTACATTTACCAAAAGCTGTGCCATCCAGTCAGGCTGGGTTTTGTCTGCACTGCTGATTTAGGCTGGGTTCCCAGAGGAGTTTGCACACACATCTATTGTATCCCATCGAGCTGTCGTCGATGATAAGTGGGACTACTTGTGGCAGCACAGCCAAGCAGGTGCCAGCACCGTCTGCAATGTGATACCCAGGCAAACTTGTGCAACGTTTGTGCAAAGCTGAAGCTCATACCAACCTTCCCCCCCAGCATCCACGGGGACTGTGACTTGAGCAATATTTAACCCTTTTTTGGACCAAATAAATCCCATTTAATGTTATCGTGAACATCACCGTGAACAAAAACTAATCCTTAACACCCTATCGATTTAAGCCATTTATTTACTAGTAATGCTAAGGAATCACAGACTGATCAACTCTTGCCCACCTATTTTGGAAGCTCAGAGTAAAATCCTGCCCCTCCTGGAAAGCAAGGGCAGGATTTCAGCAGGGTCCGGATTTCATCCCAGTTGTTAGAACGATACAGTGTGCAGGCATGGGAATATAAGGCCAAGCTCTGTCTTTCTGCAGGAAAGCCTTGAAGGTAGACCAAGAAAAGGAGAATGTGCCTTTTTAAGGCACTCGTGGAGCACAACTCTGGATTAGTTTCATGCAAAAGGGGTCGGGTTTGTTCGCTCAGACAGCTCTGCACCAAAGGGGCACCCAGAGACATTCACTTCAAAAGAGACTGACTTCAAAAGCTCCTTCCCAATCCAAAGCAAAATGCTAATATCCACACCACCCACACTCCTCCCTCCTCCACCTGGGCTGGTTCCTAACTGGCTGTGAGAGCACAGCCAACAGGTACCTCAACAGGTACCACAGCCCCAAACCTGCCCCAGCTGCCCAGCATCCTACTGAGCTTCTGACCATGCTGACATGAAACTTCTGACAGTTTTATGAAGCCTGTAAGCTCCATTGGCTTGGTCTTCATGATCCTTAAACTTTGTTTATCCTCAGGAGGCCAAAATTACTATGCTTATTTGAATAATCCCCAAGTGAAATGAAAGAGTGCTGGTTTTAGCCAAGTATCAGCGTTTCAAAGTAATTCAGTTGAGTAGCAGAACTCTCCACTAGCACTGCACACACTCACATGCCTCCACAGCACAACACATCGCTAGGTGGGAATAAGATTTTTATAGCACCAGTGTTACTTCCGACTCATATACAGATCAAATTCCCCAAGTTCGTAAAGAACTGCAGTCCTTCCCTGACCTGAGAGCAGCTGTGAGTACGGGAGGACTTCGAGTTTGTCTGGGTTGAGAGGTTAATGGCTACTCCACAGACACTTTTTTTTTTCAGTTAACTGGCAGGTCATTTTAGCAGATGATTTGCAGGTGTTTTGCAACACTTAAGAGATAACCCTGTCGAGTACTTCTGTCTGAGCTTCTACTCTGTCTTTTTTTAAACTGCATCAGATAAACCAGAGAAAGCAGGCAGGTGAGACTTTCATGGACTAATCACACAAGGACAAACTATGCCCTTTCAACTTCCACACAGCAAACTTCTCCAAATAAACGTCCAATGTAGTTCAGTGCTTGTCAAAATTAGTTTTAAATCCTAGCCATAAAAAGCTTTAACCTTTCAAATATCTCAAGGCACACAGCAGACAGTCAATTTTGATGAACATCACAGCAGTTTCAGAGTCCACACCTTCACAAAACATGAAAATTATGCTGGAATAATCAATCTCCTGCATAAGAAAACAGAGGTCTTCATACCTACCTGAAACTTCATCCACTTAAACTGCGTAAATCATTACACTAAGAACTGTTCATGTCACCTATTTTTTTCTGTTCTGAACACACTCTTCACCTAGTCTAATGAAGCAAGTTTTCCAAGCTTTGTGCTCCAAGATGAGTCCTTATCTTCTGCTACCAGATAAAGAGCTACTGGTTCAAACAGACATGGACCATGCAACCACCTGCACTTTAATCCAAATGTTTTTCTTTGAGGTCACAAGCCTACTGTCTGTTTTTTCTGCAAGTCCTCACAGGACATGGAAACGGCATTTATGAGCTACCTTACCACATTAGCTGCCCCCCCAGCATTTTGGAAGAACCAGGAGTAGCTTGTCAGGAGATACACAGCAGCAAATTCAGTCAGCTCGGTTAATATCACTTTCATTTTTCTGAAGCAAAAAGGACTTCAAGCCTGCAAACACAGGGGAGAGCACGGCTCACTCCCCCAAGGCCTCGCCACACTCTGAGGCTGCTTACAGTAAAACAAGCACTCCTGGAGTTATGCCACAGTTTGATGACTACATTTCTGAACAGAATCAACCGTAAAGAAGCATCTCCTAAAGTGTCATTTTAAATAGCCAGTACTTTCAGCTACTTTTTAACAAAATAATACAAACACTAGTCTTAGGTTGCAGAGAGAGAGGCAAGCAAAGAATGTATCTGGTTAAACCTTTGAAAGTCAACAGAAATATGGGATCAGGTCCACTGTAAACTTTATAGAGTGGCACCTGCAGAGGAAATTACTCATTGCATGATTGATGCCACACTTAGAGGTATAAAAAGTAATTCCATGATAAACAAGCAACCGGGCAGAAAAATAATGATGTAGGAGCAGGTAGTGCTCATATAAAAGTATATATTGGATGATATCAAACAGTCTACACACACAAACACAGACACAAACACAGACACAAATTCTCCAAGAAAGTTAATGGCACAAGACCTCTTCCTTCCTGTCCCTCCCCACAGCAGCCTTGATTTTGGGGCTGCATTTGGCCAGTATCTGCCCACAGTGTCACTAAAGCAACTCCAGTGCAATTAACCACGTTACACAGCTATCACACAGCCGTAAGTCATTGCTTTCAAAGCTGCCGTTTCCCACAGGAGCACAGGCCACCAGTGCAAACCAGCACAGCTCCACCAGCATCACTTCCACCTGGGCCACACCAGTGAAGACCTGGCTTGAGGTCTAAGGATCTACCAGCCAAACTTCTGAATATGCAAAAGGGAATAAACATGTTTTGTTGCTGAAAAAGCAATGATACCAAATCTCAACATTTTGTTTCTTAGAGGAAAAAAAGAGGGAGGGCAGATGGCATTACATATACATGTGCATTCCCTACTTCTTTGCAAGCTACATCATTTACTACCTTTATGCAATCACATCAGAAAAGCTCCAGCCGAGGCACCACCTCAGCTGATGGAGTATGTACCCTTCCACACACACTTCTATTTCTTTACCCTTGTGATCTGTGTTTACCAAACAACTTCAATGCACCACTTAAATCCACAGCACACGGGCTTGACAGATTTTTGTAGTTCCACTCTAAAAATTCAACAGAGAAATTGCTGCTGCAGGAAACCAAAAGCTGCACACTGGACTGCAAGCGGGTTATTTCTGCCCATGCCCCTGTATTGCTCTGACAAGCAGAATTACACGCTCGAACGCTCGCTTACCTGAGACTGACACTTTCATAAGGGCTTCCAAGGGCCTGTTGTTGTCCAGATCACGACTGAGTTTGAGTTCCCCAGTGGCAGAGTCCAAAAGGAGCAAGTTTAATTCATTGCCTTGCACAAAGGTGTAGGCCAGGCTGTCAGACACATCGGGATCATGAGCTGGGATCTTGCCAATCACGCCAGAGGGGAAGCTGTTGGACTTGTTGGTCACGTAGTTATTGAAGAGGATCTGGAAGTCCTGCAGCACAGGTGGGTTGTCGTTCTGGTCCAGCAGGCGGATGTGCACTGTTGCTCTGCTCACAAGAGGGGCTGAGGTGGCCTGCACCACGATAACGTACTCTGTCCGACTCTCATAATCCAGGTCCATTAGGGCTGTAAGATCTCCATTGAGCAAGTCTAGTTGGAAGACCTCGGGGATGTTCCCCTCTACAATCTGGTACATGATCTGTGCGTTGGTCCCCTCGTCGGGGTCAGCTGCACTGATCCGTGCCACAATAGAGCCCACAGGGCTGTTCTCCTCCACAAAGATGTCAAATTCATCCTTCTCAAACACAGGGGGGTTGTCGTTGATGTCCAGCACAGTCACCTGGATATCCACGGAGGCTTTCAGCGGTGGGCTGCCCCTGTCCACAGCAAAGGCCCGCAGGCTGTAGACAGCCACGTTCTCGCGGTCCAGCTTGCGCAGAGTGCGTATCACTCCAGAAGTAGGTTCGATGTAGAAGTCTCCATCTCCATCGTCACCACCCTGGAACGTGTAGAGGAGACGGCCATTGAGGCCTGAGTCACGGTCAGTGGCAGACAGCTGCAGGACACTGGTGGAGAGCGGCACGTCCTCAAAAACCGAGCCCTGGTAGCGGTCACGCAGGAAGCGAGGCGCGTTGTCATTGGCATCCAGGATGAGGATCTCAACGTACGTGGTGTCCGATTTCTGGGGGATGCCGTTGTCATGGGCTGTAATGGCCAACGTGTAGGAGGCCTGGTCCTCATAGTCCAGCTCCATCAGGGTGGTGATGGTGCCTGTGTCAGGGTCAATACGGAACTGGGGGATGTTATCATCCAAAATATAAGTGATTCTTGCATTCTCTCCCGTGTCTTCATCAGTGGCACTGATGGTGACAATGGAGGTGCCAATGGGCTTGTCCTCGCTGACGCTCACCGTGTAGTGGGAGCTCTGGAAGACCGGGCGGTGTGTGTTGGCATCCGTGACATTGATGAAGACCTGGACAGTGTCAAAGCGAGTGCCATCAGAGGCAGTGACTGTGAGGACATACTGCCTTTCTTGTTTGTAATCCAGGGGCAGGGCCAGTGTGATCAGCCCCCCTCCACTCTGACTGGTGATGGCAAAACGGTTCCTGGTGTTGCCACTGGTGATCTGGTAAGTCACAACGCTGTTAACGTCCCTGTCCACTGCCGTCAGGGTCAGGACACTGCTGCCCACAGCCGCGTCCTCGTTCAGTCTGAGGTGATACACCTTCTCTGTGAAGGTGGGGTTGTTGTCGTTCACATCCAGGACAGTGATGGACACGCTGGCCGAGGAGGTCATGACCGGCACGCCATGGTCCCTGGCCTCCACCCCAAAATGATAGTTCTCCACAGTCTCTCGGTCCAGTTCTGAGGCCACAGTGATCCACCCTGTGCTGTTGTTGATCTGAAAAGGGAACCCAGAGTCACCTGCTACGGGGGCACCTCCGGTGGATGGTGCCATCTCTATGAGTTTGTACTCCAGGCGGGCATTCTCTCCAGAGTCAGCATCCACGGCCTGGATGTGCAGCACTGAGTAGCCCAGAGGAACATTCTCCAGCACCGTGGCCTGGAAGGGAGTGCTCACAAAGATTGGGGCATTGTCATTCACATCCACAACCTGCACTGACACCATGCCACTGGAGTTGATCAAGGGAGGTCTGCCCCCATCCTGGGCTTTGATCCGCAGCGTGTACTCCCGAATAGTCTCATAATCCAGAGGGTTTATCAGGTCAATGGCGCCAGAGAAAGAGTGAATGTAGAACTGGCCTTTAAGGTTGCCACTCACAATGCTGTAGTGCACCTGGGCATTGCTGCCCCGGTCCCGATCCGTGGCTTGCACCTGCAGTATCTGGCTGTTCACAGGGGCGTCCTCGGGCACCTGCACCAGGTAGCGCTTCTCGCTGAACTGAGGGTAGTTGTCGTTCTCGTCCTCTACCGTGATGTGCACCATAGCCGTGGCGCTACGCGGTCCCGGATCCTTGCCCTGGTCATTGGCTTCCACCACCAGGTGGTACTCGGAGACCTCCTCTCGGTCCACCGGGGCTCGGGTCCTCAC